TTAAATTATAACACCCTATAGTAGTATAAAAATGTTGAAAATTCAAATACAATTTGCCTTTTCAATATCTACATAAATTAAAGTGGGGAAAAGTTGCGGAAATCGGTTGGAGAGCTTAAAAGAGGCATTGGAGAGGCCCTCTTTAAAACAGTTTACAATAAACCGAGCAAAGAGAAGAGGAAAAAGCCCCACATCAAGTGCCTCTTGCCTGGATTTTCCATGTGAAAGGCAAAATCAATGAACAAGATAAACGTTTACTAAATATGAGTACGAGCTAGGTACCATTTTTTGTGTGGTTTTCTCAAACGAAACTGTAGAAAGCAAGGCTTGAAAAAGCACTTCACACAGAAGAAGCTCGGTTAGGTGTAAAACTATGTATGGTTAAAAGGGAAATTGTAAAACTTATAAAAATGTCTCTGGGAAAAGGAAGAATTGAAATAAGAGGTATAGAAGATAAAATGTTTATAACGACTACCAGCTTAGGGCTTGTGACTTACCTTTAATTGCTGAAATTAACAAAAGAATTAACTAAAATAAAATTTTATGAGATCTAAAAGTTGTCATAATACAAAAACAAATAATAATTTAGTAAAAGGTAGTACTTTTATTTCGCACTTGTCATGTGATTATTTCCCAATTATCATTAATTTTCTTATTTTTCCCAATTATTTTCCGCAATCCTTAACCTTTGAATCATTTTTATATCGCCAGCTGTTTGCTGGCTCTGCCATTTCTGCCTTTTCCCCTGTCGAACAGGAGAATTGCACTCCTGGCAGTAATTACCCAGGACACACGGGCACACAGACAAAAGCAATCGCGGCCCATAATAAATTCATAATTGACAGGGGCTCGGCGGAAATGAGGCCCCCTTCTCACGCTTTTGGGCTCGGTCTTTGACAAATATCCTTGCTGAACGTCGGGCGAATTTCACGCATAAACAGGCTGTTTCCACTGGCACTTCCTACCACGTCCTCCACTCGACGTCCTGTTATCCCCTCCACGTTCTACACGCCTCTCCAGCGGCACTTCCGGCAAAGCGACCCTGACACAGGGCCCTTTTCCAAACCCCTTTCTGGGTAATTGCGAAAACTATTAAGCCAAATTATGGGTTTTACTTTACGAAGCGGCAACCCTTTTTTGTACCCAGCACTTGAGAGTTAGAAGTGCCGTGAAAATCAAGAGCACGCGAAATTATTATATAGATTTAACCCCGAAAATATAATATTTGCTGCCCTTTCAGGCGGTGGCAGTGAGAGTGCATCAAATATACACTTGTGTGCGTATGTGTGCCGGGAAAAAGGTTAATATTTGTGTGTTTGCCTTCCGCCTCCCGTTCACACGGCGGCGCATAATCCCCAATGGTTCTCCCTAGCATTCCCATGGCGCCCTTTAAATGGCCCGTAAAAAAATTGCAAACAAAATGAGGGAAACTAAAAGAAATACGAATAAAAACAGAGCCAATTGAGTAGCTATTACCGAAAAAAATTCAAACAATTTACCATGAAATACACTCCAAATGCTGCGGGGGTTAAAAAATGAAAAGTCATTTTCACGTATTTGTGGAGCCAACGAAACATTTTTCACTTTTCAATAGTTCATTTTTCATGTACTCATACATAATTTAAGTGACCGTATTTACGGGGAATTATTGGCTGCAAATATATTCGATGTTCGATGGTTTGATGAGGTGAGAAACACATTTGTCCAGCCTCTGTGACAAATTGGGGAGCCATTTGGGTTTGGCATTTAAATGTTATTATTATTGCTGAAATAAAAACATAAACTTGGATGAATTTTTGTACAAAATAAAATAATACTATTCCAATCAATCCTAAATAATATTGAAAAATATTGTATATCTTTAATTTAGTTATAATTCATTAAAAGCTTATAATAATAAATATTAATCGTAACACTCAGTTTTACAGCAATTGTAAACTTTTATGAATATTGAAGCTTTTAAAATTATCCTTCCTTTGTATACTTTTGATCTTCTCTTTTTATTGTTTAATTAAATATTTCACCACCTTTTTCCAAGGTGGAACAAAAAAGATACACTGCAGTGCATTCCGCCCATAAATTAAAATCAAACTTTTTCGTTACCATTGTAACTCAAGCGAAAATCCTCACATGAACGCCTCTAAAGTATTTCCGAATTGAAATTCCTCAAATGCATCACACGAACGCATAAATGTTTGGTTCCGCCTAAGGGGTCCGAAATTTTAATAACTCAATTACGCACATATTTGAATTCATTAGCGAAAGGATATACATCGGGAGGGATAGCGCTGCTAAGGGTAGTCCGGACTCCGGAGGCAGCTCACAATCAAATGTATATAAATCAAATTTAGCGCCGAAATGTGCAAAAGGAGTGGCGCTGAGAAATACAGGGGTTCATTTTTATTATTGTTACTTTTCCCTATGCCAAAGATCCGCAGGGGTGCATATATATATATGAATTTGGGAAATTATTACCTCAGCACCCGAAGAAAAAACTAATAACCATGTAAGGATTTAATAATAAATCAAGGACGCGTAAGAGGCAGAGTGAGGGAAATCGCAAACAGGAAGTAGAATAAGGGATTGGATTCATGGCACAATACGAATTTCAACTAGACAAATGAACGGCCGACAGAGCTCCTGTCTCTTTGCATATAACAAAGGTCCTTTAGCCGGGCATTATATTCCTCGCATTTATCATCCGGATTGAATAATACTTCCCGGGATAGCAGTTACATATGTTCTCCTATTCATAGTTCGCGCGAGGATCCCCCGGAAAATGCTCACAGACAATGATCTCGAATGGTTTTTTTCCAGGTAGCTAAGTCCCAGTTTTTTCCCTCTGTATAATCCTCTTTTCTGGACTGTTTCCGAGTGGAATTTGTGCTACCCTCGGTTGACAAGAACCTCTCGTTAGGTGGGATTAGCAAACTCAGCTTGACTGCTATTATTGTTATTTTTGTTGTGTTTTGTTCAAATGTTCAATGAATCGAAATTGGGTTGTTCGAGGCGCTAATTGACAGCCCAATTGACGGGGCTGCTTTGGACTTATGAGGTCACTTAAGGGTCACTCGAGGGGCTTATCCGCATCCCATAAAGTGGCTACAGGAGTGGTGGCAAAAAATGTATGCAGATGTGTCGTATAAAGATTGGCTTGATACTCCTCTTATTTAAATTATATTCTTAAATAAGCGTATTTAATGATAAGTTAAAAACCATTGCAAAGTGCGATTCTCTTTTCGGAGGTCAAATATTACCACTATTACCATCGATTTTTATTTAAATACAAGTATACAAAGGTATCCCCACTGTTACGGGGTATTATAATTTTAGTCAGAAGCTTGCCACGCTTTAAAGGACTCATTTCCGACCCTATAAATCATATATGTATATTCTTGATCAGCATCAACAGCCGAATCGATATGGCTATATCTGACAAAAATGTAATTTTTTCAAAATTTTCATAAGGGGTTACAATGTTAAAATGGTAAAAAATTTGAAAAAAATAAATTTTTTCAACATTGAAATTGAGTATGCAGGTTTGTTAAGCGAATAAAAACTAACATAGCAAACCTTCCGAATGAAAATTAATGTTGAAAATATGTTCATTTTTAAGCTTTGTTAGTTTGTTTCCTTTTAGATTTTATTTTTTCTGTAATTACATTAAACGTTTTTTATTCTTTTTCTTAATAAGTAAGATAATTTTCATACTTGATGATTATATTTATTAACTTTATTTTTAATCGTAACTCTCCGGGAAGACCCATTGAAAAGTGTGTACTTCAACGTTAAAATTCACCGAACTCTACATAAGTTGATAGGGAATCAATTCTATTTGCGAAGAAACCTAATTACTTATTTAATTGAACCACTCAGCCATGCCGCAGAAACAAAAGAAACCATTGAATGTGTCTGAGCATAATCGGCATTAAATAAGGCCGAAGGGAACAAAGGACACATGCTCTCATGTAAATTAAGTTGCATATTTCGGGTAACTAATCTCATTAACACTTCACTTAATTTTGTCGCCTCCTCCATTTATAACACAATGCCGACCTCCCTTGCACTCAAAGTCTCTAATCAAATTTTATAAATTTAGAAGCCGCGGAAGTGTTTGAATTTTTGGCTTGAATGCAATTTAAGGTTTACTTTAGCTAAAAGTGCATTTCGCCCTAAAGCTAAGAGTATCTAGAGAGTTTTATATTCTCTCCAGCCAACATCTGTTGGCATTTCTCCCTTTTGTGGCTCGGATAACAGATTTTTTCCTGGGCTTGCGGCTTCTTAAATCCAACCCATAAGTAGCCCAAAAATCTCCGGTTCTAATCTGTAAAGAAGAAGCCCCTAGGCGGCCCTCTCGACGTCTCAATTTCCAAATGACCAAGCTAATCACAAAAGGCAGACGGACTGGCAGAGCAAGGCTTTTTCTTCCTTTCTTTCCTCCTGTACTGCATTTGTTTTTCCCCTCCTGTTGATGACATAATTCCGCAGCGCTCGAGTTTCAACCGCCTGACTTTACACACTCTGACATAATTAGGGTGAACTACCTACCCCTACCCCCGGTTCCTGTCCCCGTCTCTTTGTCTTGTCAAAATCATCCCAATGCCGACCCCAGTCCCTATATCACCCGGCCGGGACACACCCCTCAACACTTGTGTGCACAGCTGGCAGTCTTCGCAGAAAAAAAACCAATTCAATTGCCAAATGAAAACTTTAATAGTTTTCTCTTCCTTTTGTGTGCTGTTTAATCTAAATTTATGCAAATTTTGTAGAGCATTTTTAAGCATTAGGTAGGGGAAAGTCATTGGAAAAGCAGGGAAACTCTGAACCCTGTCTGGAGTGGCATTAACTTGGCATGGAAATAGTTAAACCTGGAAACTTAGGGTTACATCTACATATATAAAAAATATAATAAAAATATCTATATGAAACGTTGCAAGAAAGTAATTTTCAGAAGACTTGTAGAAGTACAAATACCCTTGTAATATTTAAAAATAGTTACACAAATAATTTAATTATCCATTCAGTTGGGGGAAAACATACATATAAATTTCGAAGTTTGCTAAAGGCCCTGGGGATCACCTGCCTCCTACTTTTCGCCGGAAACTGCAAAAGCGGTAAGGATGAAAAAGGCCGACCAGGAAATATAGTTGATCGGGTCGCCGCTGCCCTCGTATACGTGCTCCTCACAAGGATCGGCCCCGAATTTGGCCACGAAGGCGAGAACGGCCATGCCGGCCATGTACCCGCTGCCCTCGTTTAGGGCCAGGAAGACCAGGGAGGTAATATTGCCCAAAATGGTCAAAACCTTCAGGGTGTGTACGGTTCCGAAGACCTCATCTTCACCGCCCTCGGTCTTCCAGAAGGCCAGAATCACGCTCAAGGTCAGCGGGGCCAGGAACAGGCCATGGCCCAGTGCAATTTTGTTACACTCGCCAGCCAGAAACAGATCTACATTGACCAGGGGCAGCGGTACAATCTCAATGATAGCGGCGGTTGTTTCCTGAATCTTCTTTGCGGTGTCATCACCGGCCAAACCACTGACCAGGCCCACAATCCCGTGGGTCAACCCTATCAGGCATGAGGTAAAGGCCCAGGGATGCTCTGAAGGCCCGATCTTAAAGAGACCATAGCCAGTGGCTCCGCATAGTAACGCGTTGAAGACAATGTTCACAGCCACATTGTCCGACATCTTGGAAGTGATTCGAAAGGAAGAATACTTTCACAATTGAATTAGATTGGATTGAATTTTGCTTGCCAGTTAAAAGTTCTAGATTGCTTTGATGCCTTACTCTTAGATTGCTTTGCAACTTGGTTGCTAAGTTCTAGAGGTTTCTTTAATAAATATTATCGAACTTCTTTATATTAATTATTAGGGATCTATTATAAGGGGAAAGGGGTCATATCAATAAAAAGGAAGTGATTCGAACTATTTTTTTGAAATACCTATTTAAATATAAAATTGTATTCTATAGAGTATACAGAAATTGCAACAGTATGCTGTACATTTGTGCCAACGCGTGTATGATTCCCTCTGGTATATGCTAGGCTAAGAGCATACTCTACCAGAGAGAGCCACTGTTTCCTTGGCAAAACTATCCACTTAATGCACTAAGATTTAACACTCACCTCAACCACAATTCAGTTAAGGCGGGAAGGGAAGGGGAATTTCCCACAAGGAACTCTGACATTTATTATAGCGCAATTTCCCTTTCGAAGAAGAAACGTCCTGCCTTGCATAGAAATGCAAGGCTGTGGAGTCGTGGAAATCCACAAGGATTTGCTTGGCGATAGCTGAAAGCTTTTCCCCATCCCCTCGGCCTCATTTTCCTGAACGGATTTCCCTTTCGGGGATTTTCCACTCCCGCTTGATTGTTGTCAAAGGTCATGAAATATGCAAACAATATAGTACTAGCGCACATTGTTTGCTTCCTTATCCGATCCGATTAGCTAATCGAACCCATAAACTGCATATAAAAATCTGACTCCGAGCTTGACCACCTGCTTTCCATTTTTAATGACTTGTGAGGAGGAGGATGAGAAGAAGGTGGAGGAGGCCCCAGTTCCCTTGGCTTTTAGGAGATTAATAGTTGCTCCGCAAGCTTTTAGTCGAATGGAATTGCCGGTAAGTAAGCTAGCTGACTTTTCAATTGTCTGCTCTATCGGCTAATAGAAGGAAGTTCGGTTAAATGCTAATCACCAAATTGCCCTTTGATTGATAAACTTACACACATTCAAGGGAAAAGCCGCAAATGCCGCACAACCTCAAGTCCTAAGCCGAAACCATAATTAAATATTGCTCCCCAGTGGAGTTGGGGTGCAAAGTCCAAACTGGTTTCGACAATAATTACTGAAACTTGGCACGAAGTCGGACCGCAATTGCGAGATTTGCAAGGATAAAGGGAGGAAGCATTGGATGCACTCAAAAAAGTGCATAAATCTATCAAAGTTTTAATTTTTGCAAATGAAGTTTCAAATACCTTTAAAAATATTTCAAATAGTTTTAAAATATTTCAACCTTGAATTCTCACATTGTGTAGATTTTCCCTCTAGGATTTTAAATTGTATTCTAAATATTCTATCTTGGAGTGTCATGCGAATTTGCTGAGACTTTTTGCGAGTGCAACACTGACAGGAACGTGGACAGGGATAGCTCATCATCATTAACACCCGTCCAAGCGATTCCCGTCGTCAATGGCAATGGCCTGGGATTGGGACTGGGATTGGGAGACGTAAGGGACGTGGTAGAGCCGTCGAGACGCTGAGATCCCTGTCGCTTTCTGCTGGTTGGCGGTCGGAGAATTGTCGCTGTGCCAGCATAATAATAAGGCAACGACCGGGACCAGGACCAGGGGAATCGATGACAACGTAAATCAATGCTCCTCCTAGCTGGGAATCGAGTCGAAACAATCATTAATTAATGTCAATCGAATCGAATTGAGGCGAACAGCTGAAATGAAATTTGGCGACAAACGTTTTCCGCTCGGAATCAGCGCAAATGAGCAGAGCTGCGGGTCCTCCCAGGTAGTCGTCGTCGTCGTAATCCTTGAAATATGTAATTCGGTTTCCTTCGCAACTGCCAGGCAACTTTTCATTCTCATTTTCATAGCAAACGTGCTCGTTTGGGAAATCTGCACACAAGTCCTGCTCGGTCCGGAAACGGAAACGGGCTGAGCGGAAGACTTGACAGCCATTTTTTTATTTTGCAGAACATCAACAAATGTCCAGCAATTAATTACGAGGAAAATGGTTAGTCAAGATGAGATGAATATTAAATGGAAGAAGTTTTGGGCAGCACAATGCAGGAAATAACAAGGCAACTTTGGTTGAGGTTTCAGAAATTCAGTAAACAAAATTTTTAAATAATAATAATATTTTTACAATGAATAAACTAATGCAGTTTCAGGTTGATAATTTAATAACAAATATAGAATTCAAAAAGTTCATTGGAAGACACATTTAATTTACTGGCGAAAACGTATTTCTTGTGTAAACTTATTTCCAAGCAATTAACTAGGGAAAACATTAAATACCGATGATGGATTTTGCAATACAAAAGAACGCTCGAACGCCCAGAGAAAAGACCTGCAACCAGACAACAATATGCTGCCAATATTAAAATGCATTTTTAATGCACTTTTGCACTTTGTGGTTGGCCAACAGCGTTTACCCTTTTTCCTGTCCCCTTTGGATAACAGCAAGTTGACTTTGTTTTAATTAAAAAAAAAAAGAAAAGCACACAATGAAGGAAACAAGAAAAAAACTGTTTATAAGAGCAACCAACAGACGGACTGACGGTCAGTCCGAATGCTGACGAAATATTCGCAGCCATTTATCAGGCTCTTAGCGCTGAACACTCCGTGTTCAATGCAAAGTGTTTCCAGCAAAAGCGACGAATGGCAGTTTAATGCACTTTTATTGGCATCCAATGGGCTGCTAAGGGCAGGGAGAGCGCCAGGCTCAGAACTCATTAATTAAAACACTACCTCGCTGGCGGTGTTGAAACAAAAAGTTTTCATCCCATCAACTATTTGTACGAGGCTTCTGGTGTGTGTGCATTTCTCTCATCTAACAATATTCTCATTTCATCATTTCTCCTACGTATGGAAAGAGTTGATCGAGTTTCAGATACCGTGTACAGACTCCTTTAAGGAAAGCTTGTTTGGACCCCGAGTCCCACAAGAGCTCTAAAAAATAGATAGATTATTCTATGATTATAGTATATATTATAACCGAAACTGGATATACCCCTTAAACTCAACAAATACCCTGGGAAAAAAGTGCAAACATACGCAACAGGAAGTTAAGCGAAGCCTTCCCTCGGAGGCATGTCAAACAAAATCATAAAATTTATTAAAACCGCCCCCAAAGCGTTGGAGCTTTTAATTAGACAGAGAGGAGCCGAACCTACCTGGACGAATCCCGTGTATCCTTTTCCGTTCTCCTCCCTGGCTGCATTAAAAAGTTATTCCATCATAATAAATCTTTTTGGCCTGCGCTAGGTTTGCATAATTAGCCAGGAACTCGGACAACTTAAACTCCTGTACACCTCTCGGCACACCTCCGCAGACTCCTTGCCCCGGGGGCCTGTCATAATTATGCAAAAAGTGTGAAACTGAAGCTGTAGGAGCAGAAAGTTAACTAAACAAATGCGCTGCCGTTGTTGTTGTTGCTGCTGATATCCCTGGCTCAGCTTTCACAACATAATTCGTTATTTATGACTTCAATTATGTTTGCCCGTGGCCAGACACAACACACCCAAAGGTTAAATGGGCGCAGCGAGAGCAAACTTAACCTCAGCTCAAGGCGTCGTCGCACCTTTGACCCCCAGTGTGGCCCTATACCCCCTCTCTCTCCTCCAACATACACATTTGTCGTTTGTCGTCACCTCCTCAGTTTTTAGTGAAGTAAGAGCCCGGAGTGACCCCCTCAGGAGAAAGTGTGAACAGCGAGCAAGAGAAATAACATTTTAATTACAGCTCCAACAAAGGGTTCCGCCTCCCCTGAATATTCTTATGATAAATTAACGAGGGAAAATGATTTGACAGTTTGGCCCAAAGGCAGGATGTCGCAGGATAGTCCGGAGAGAGTGGAATTCTGACGGAGTTCCTTCAGAAATGTATACCAATGTATACCATATTGCAAAGGGGTCATAATAGAGTTATAGGAATATGTTTATGGCATAATATAATATAACATATTGTAATATGTTTATAAATGTTATCCATTTATTTCTGATCAATTGTCTTATTAATATATGCCAAATAAATTTCCCCATCTTGAGCATTTTTCAGAACATTATTAATGCTTTTTTCCTCTTCACAACATTTGTTGACAATTTGCGACAGAGTTTTATTTGGTTAGATAATGTCATCAGGGTTTATGAATAATAAATGCACGTGGCATATAATTCACATCCAGAAACAGTCTGTCAATGGATATTAATAACAAAATAGCCAGCAAAAAGGAGCATTAAAAAGTATATATAATATACAAGTGCATTGTTTTTGTTACAACATTTGTACAGTTAATATGAAAATGTTATTAATAAACTGTAATTACCAAAGGTTGCCCGGCCAGCACGTCTGTCATTTAAAATTTATACAATAAGCGCCAGAGATAAAAAAATAAAAATAGTATAAATAAATGAGTTTCCACCAGAAAGAATGCATGTGAAAATTTAAAGCTAGTTAATCGGTGGTCACAGCCACGGAAAATCAACATCAGAAGCCAGTGGCAAAGTGGCTAACCTTGGCCAAGACGGGCCACGTCTTGGAGATCTAATGCCGAGTTGCAGCTCTGACCACTCTCAGCCTTGGGGGCTGAGAAAACACGTTTCTGTTTTTCCCACTTCTATCCGTACTTATGTATGTGTATATATTGCCGATTTGCATGTGAATGGAAACTGAGTCACGGACGCCGGCAAGTGTTGCATTTTGTGTTGATTTTCGTGAAAAGCGCTTAGTTGCCAAACTAAGTTGCTGCCTTCAAAGCAAAGGCAATTAAATTAAAGGCGAAAAGCAAACACAGATGGCCAGCAAGCTAAAACTTATTTCATCTTTTAGCCAGAAAGTTTTTCAACTGCCATTGTCAGCATAATATTTTATGCTTTAATTAGCAAAGCATTTCAAACGTGTCTGAAACGTTGACAAACAATTAGCTCCTCTCTATATTTTCAAGAATATTGGGTCAGCAGAGAGACACTCGTAGTCTGAGTCAGACTCAGATCTCGGATCAGTGCGAAAAGCAAACAGAAAGCAGAAACGCCATAAACTTGGCAAACTTTAAACTGGAAACCGGGCTC